ATGGAGATAGCATGAATCAGCAGAATAAAAGGGAGAGTGAAGTTCACACAGAGAGTGGGGTGTGCTTGTTTGTGCTTGTTTAATTATTATGGACTAGAGTTCATGGAGTAACTCAAATCACCTACTTGTACCCTTAGCCATGACTGGGGACCCTGTTTCAAAGGGAAATGAATTATTAAATAACCTTTTATCATAATGTTCTTGCTTATAAGGAATACCTCACCTTCACAACATGAGATTTCCAAAGGCCAGGCCAAGACTGGGACAAAGTTAACCACAGAGCTTTGCTGGGCTAACAGAATATGAGAACCAGAGAGGCTCAAAGATTTCCATGGGTCACACACACATGCTCCTCATTCATGGTCAATATCTAGGGAGTGTGTCTACCTTCTGCACAACCTGTGAAATGACCCGACATCCTAATGGGCACACTGAGGTTCAGAGAGCTGCAGCACCTGTCCCACGCCGCACGCTTGGTGAGTGCTGGGTCAGCCTGAACTCCTTCTCATCGCAGGTTCAGAGCTTTTCCACTCCACCCTATAAGCTGGCTCTGCTCCTGTCTGAGAAGTTGTTTCATATTTTCCCATTCAGAGTCTACTAGCCAGCTAAAGGTTTAAAGGAGAGGGCAAGAGGTAAACACCTGAATCTTGAGTTCCTTTCTGCTAGCAGCTTTTCAAGAGCTTGATTGGAAGAAAATATTCATAAAAGTGTGCCTTTCTCTGATTTGACAACCTAAAAACCCAAGTGAGTTGAGGACTAGTACAAGTATATTTACCTCAGTTAGAAAATGAGCTTGTACTGAAAAGAAAATAACCTATATAATCCCAGTAGTAAATTAAAAGAGTTAGGTCTCTGGATGGTTCTACTTATACTGTTTCTTGTCAGAGAGAAGGGAGAGTGAGAAAAATCACAAATCCTTCCATTATGAGGTTCATAAACTCAGTAGGCTCTTTAAATTCTGAGCTCAATTCTTTCTTTTCAAAATAGTGATTGTTGGCCCGGCGTGGTGGCTCACGCCTGTAATCCCAGCACTATGGGATGCCGAGGTAGGTGCATCAGTTGAGGTCAGGAGTTTGAGACCAGGCCAGGTCAAATTGACGAAACCCCGTCTCTACTAAAAATACAAAAATTAGCTGGGCACGGTGGCGGCAGTACCCATAGTCCTGGCCACTCAGGAGGCTGAGGCGGGAGAATTGCTTAAACCCAGGAGATGGAGGTTACAGTGAACTGAGATCACACCACTGCGCTCCAGCCTGGTGACTCAATGAGACTCTGTCTAAAAAACAAACAAACAAAAAATAGAGATTGTTATACTTACTTTTGAGGGCCGTTGAGAAAGTTAAATGAAATAATGGATATGGTTTGGTTCTGTGCCCCCACCCAAATCTCATCTCAAATTGTAATCTCCATAATCCTTACATGTCAAGGAAGGGGCCTGGTGGAGGTAGTTGGATCATGGGGGCAGTTTTCTCATGCTATTCTCGTGATGGTGAATGAGTTCTCATGAGATCCGATGGTTTTCTAGGTGGTTTCTCCTGCTCTCTCCTTTTCCTGCTGCATTGTGAAGTAGGTACTTGCTTCTCCTTTACCTTCCGCCATGATTGTTAAGCTTCCTGAGGCCTCCCCAGCCATGCAGAATTGCGAGTAAATTAAACTACTTTTCTTTATGAATTACCCAGTCTTGGGTATTTCTTTATAGCAGTGTGAAAACAGACTAATAAAATCATGTACATAAAATTCATAATAGGAACTGAGTAATGAGAGTGTCTTCCAGCCCCCACTTCTTGGGATGTGGATGAGTCTCTGTGAACACATGGAGTTGTACATGGATCTCTCTCTCTCTTAACCCATTAAGCTCTGGTAAAAATAAGATTTTATGGATATCCATAATTTTTTTTTCAAATAAGTCATATAATGGGTCTTTTCTATAAAGCTCCTGTACAGAGGTTAGTGATATTCACGAATCCAGTCAACCTGAGTGATATGTTTTGGCTATGTTTTCATCCAAATCTCATCTTGAATTGTAGGTCTCATAATTCCCACATGTCATGGGAGGGACCCAGTGAGAGGTAATTGAATCATGGGGATGGGTCTTTCCCGTGCTGTTCTTGTGGTACTGAATAAGTCTCATGAGATCTCATGGTTTTATAAATGGGAGTTCCCCTGTACACACTCTTTTGTCTGCAGTCATATAAGAGGTTCCTTTGCTGTTCCTTCATCTTCTGCAATGATTGTGAAGCCTCCTCAGCCATGTGAAACTATGAGTCCATTAAACTCTTTTCCTTTATGTTACCCAGTCTCCAGTATGTCTTTATTAGCAGCATGAGAACAGACGAATACACTGGATTAACAGGAAGTTTTCAGTGAAGGTTCAGGGAGGCCTGACTCACCGTTAACACAGCTTGCTTAACTCCTAGACTGCAGCAGATCCTTGGTTCCCAGGTTGTTTTATAACCTGGAAAAAGAGATGATTTATATTGCAGAAAAAGGCTCCCATACCCTGCATCTGGTGGGTATCTCTCCTTAGCCCAGACCCAGCTACCACTCACCCACTGCTCAGGGCAGTCTGAGCCTTTCCGATTGCCAGGCTCCCTTTGCATGAACTCCAGCCTTGCAAGTGGGAGCCCTGCTGCCTCTCTCCAGCTATTCATAGCTCTTGGGCAGGGTTTCACTCTTAACACTTGATAAAAACAGTCACTTCTCTACACCACCCTGCCGCTTACCTGAAAATGCAGACATTTTGCTGATCCTTCTTCAATTCCTTGTTTCTGAAGTATTTGCCTCTTCTGAAAAGTTTTGCTCAAACTACCTAACATATTGAGCAGTTTCAGTGTCGCAAGCAATGGTGCTGGCTTGTAGCAAAAAAATTTGGTCTGATTTGGTCCCTGCGCTAAAGGGTTTAAATCTAGTCAGAAAAACAGGTTTGTGGGGCCCTATGTGGTGTGGTGGCTCATGCCTGTAATCCCAGCACTTTCGGAGGCTGAGGCAGGCGGATCACTTGAGCCCAGGAGTTTGAGACCAGCCTGGGCAACATGGTGAAACCCCATCTCTATCAAAAATGCTCCCCCCAAAATTGCCAGGTGTGGTGGCACTTGCCTGTAGTCCTAGCTACTAGGGAAGGTGAGGTGGGAGAATCACTTGAATCCGGGAGGTGGAGATTGCAGTGAGCCTAGATCATACCACTGTACTCCACCCTGGGAGACAAAGCAAGATTGTCTCAAAAGAAAGAGAAAAGAAAAAAGAAAAACAGAGCAGAATGTGTTCAGCAGTGACTTCACTTTAATGGGTTCCTAGAAATTCCAACTAAGGATCATGATTCTCTTAGCCAAGTAAATCAGAGCAAGGGGAGAAGGCTGCCAGGGTCAGACAAAGTGGAGGACCCTGTCTTTTCTGCCCAGGTGGGCTCCTTTTTTCCACAGTAGCATCTCAATCTGCAGGTTCAGTGGACCTTGTACCCCCCAATCTGCTTTCTTTCAAAGTAGGATCACTCATCCATATTTAAACATTGTTCTCTATAACCTCTTGCAACTGTCATTTCAGTATCTTCTTACTTGGGTGCTATATTTCTTTCCTGTGAATTCTTTTATAGCTTGCATAGCTCTCATATCTGTATCCAAAAAGAGGATCTCACTGAAACTCCTGATCTTCCTTTTCTTTTTCTTTTCTTTTTTTTTTTGAGACAGAGTCTCCTTTCGTCACCAGGCGCCAGGCTGGAGTGCAGTGGCGTGATCTCGGCTCACTGCAATATCTGCCTCCCTGCAATATCCGCCTCCCGGGTTCAAACAATTCTCCTGCCTCAGCCTCCCAAATAGCTGGACTACAGGTGCGTGCCACCACGCCCAGCTAGTTTTTATATTTTAGTAGAGACAGGGTTTCACCTTGTTGGCCAGGATGGTCTCCATCTCTCGACCTCATGATACGCCCGCCTCGGCCTCCCAAAGTGCTGGGATTACAGGCATGAGCCACCGCGCCCAGCCCCTGATCTTTCTTTTCTAACATCTCCTACCCCTCAATATTAAACATTTATTCCGGGCATTGTCAACTTATATACTCTAATGACATCATACATTCTAGTCGGATGCCTTTCGGTGCTTTTTAAAAACTAGTTGTATGCTTCAGTGACCATGTCGTTCTCCTATCAGGACTTCTGAGTTTAAACACTTTGAGAAGGCACGTTGTCAAGTGATTCTCAACCAGGAGAGATTTTACTCCCCTATCCCAGAGGACATTCACCAATGTCTGAAGACATTTTTGGTTGTCACAACGTGGGGTTACGTCATGCTACCAGATCAAGTAGGTAGAGGCCAGTGACGACTTGAAATGTCCTCTAATGAACAAGGCAGCCCCTAAGCATGAATAATTACCCAACGCAAGCGGGGCCAAGGGTGAGAGACTTTTTCTTAGCTATTTTCTAGGTTTGTCATGAGCTGGTTGAACCCCAGAGAGAGAATGTGACTTGTCATCCAGCTAATTAGTAGCAAAGGCTAATCAGATTCTAGTTTGCCTGACATTCAGAGACTGATTCATTCTAACAGGAGTAGAACTAGTGTACATTTTAGTGGTCACAGAGATTTCTCCAATTTCCACTTTTGATCTTGCTTGATGTGGAAATTAAATAATATAGAAAAACTTAAATAATAGAATCGTGACAATGGATCAACCAATCCTGATTATCAGACTCAATTTTCTGCAGTTTAAGCAGAATTAATAAAGAAATGGGCTTAAAAAAAAAAAAAAAAACGGAATGGGACTGTCCCGCTAAGTAGACACAGAAGGACTAAAGAAAGAGGAATTTGGAAAGAGCAGGATTTTTGGACAAATGTTTAACAGGGCAAAGGACAAGGATTAATAAATAATCATTGAATCAGGAATATAAAAATTCACAAGAAGGGCATTCTTGTTCTTAATTTTTTCATCATAAAATTTTTATCATAATTTTTCATAAATGAAAATTTTTTTCATAAATTTTTTCATCACAAATTTATGATAAAATAATAAATTTATTTTTCATCATAAATTTCATCATAAATCTTGCTTTATAAAACTAAAAGTACTACAGTCTTAGATTAACCTGCAAGTGCTGCACAGTGGCTCACAAAAGATTTTGCCTGCTATTTGGAGCATAACAACCTTAAAGAAATATTGAAAAGACAGAGGCACCAACACTAGGCAACAAATCACAAAGCACTTCCCAAAGGAAGCGCGAATGTGTGTGATATCTACCATCAAGTTGCAAATTAGAATTGTATTTGATAGGTATTGGTGGTTCTTTTCTCAGCAGGAGTTGGAGGTTTGGAGTAACAACAGCAGACATGGAACTGTGCAGATCTATGCCCTTTTCAAGCGTCTTGGGAATCCCAAGTCTATGATCTAGCCAAATTTCATTCACAGCAATTGTGTATTGACTACTTGTCTAGCGAAAGCAACTTCAGCACAAATACCTATGTTTCCTCTGGCACTGTTCATATTCTCAGATTATCTAAAATGACACCATCATTTTTTTTTTAACCTTAGATCATTCACTTTTTTCCTATCATTACATTCTCATGCCCTAGTTTTATAAATTCTTTATTTTTACATTTCTGTAATGACTGTGAACATTATCAGAAACAAAATGAAAAGTTGCTAATGTTAAGAAAACCTTGACAAACAGAGCTGGAAAAGCCATGGAGAGAAGGTTCTCAGTCGTTTTTATTGGGTAAGAAAAAAAGTTACCAAAAACATAATCTTGCACAAAGCTTATCACATTATACAAAAAACTTCTGCAAGGACATCTGATCAGTAACTGCCAGTTCAAACTTGACCTGATGTCACCCTTGTTATTAATGTTTGTAGTGAATGATAAGTATTTTAGAACATTTATTTAATCCTTTTCATTTTTTTCTTTGAAAACCTTTGTCTTCCTTTATCTCCTTAAGTACATAAATGGTTTACTATGGTACACATAAACCCATTACAAAACTTCTTTCCCACATAAACAACTTTTATTTTAGAGTCTCCTTCTGTTTATTAAGTTGACAAGATGTATCCAAAAGCAGCCGAATGCATAGCTTGAACTCTCATCCAAGCACACAAATAAGGCATTGATGTATTAAACAGATTTTTTAAAATGTGCTAAGGATACGTTTAGAAGTATTTTTCTAGTGATCTAGATGAGAGGATATGAGGCAGTATGAGATGATTTACGAAATCAGTGTTTAGTTTGTTAAAGGCTGTCACCCTCTTGGTTCAACAACTTAATTTAAGGTCCTGTTGTGCTTATAAGCTACATGTTCCTTTCCATAGCTGCCACCCATTGAGAGGGGTACAGTCAATTTAGCAAAAAGCCACTCCCACACATTTCAGGGCCACAGGACTGCCTACTAGCATCTAAGAAAAATGGCAAGTCATCCTCTTATCACAAGATAGCTAGTTAATATGTTCCTTTTCAAGGTTGGCAATAAAAGTTTAACGAAACATTTCAGCAGATTTGGCTCTTTCCAAGTCTGTAGAAACTGGCTTTTTAAAGACGCTTACTTTTCATGGCTTGGAGGCAAGGACTAAGGCAGATGAGAAACGTCTGCTGGGAGCGTAGCTGGGAGGGGATGTCTGTGACGGGCAGGCTGATGGCATTCTGGAAGGCTTCTCTTAACTGGCTTGCCACATAAAATACAGGGAACCCAGGAAAATGTAAAATTCAGGCAAAGAATTAATATCTTTTTAGTATAAGTATGTCCCAAGCACTGTAGGTAACATGATTATACGAAAAAAAAAGTATTGATTGTTCATCTGATGATTGTATAGATTGTTCATCTATTTACTTGGGTGTCCTGTATTTTGTCTGCCAAATCTGGCCACCCTATTTGCATATTCTTTCCTCTCTGCGTCACTCAGTCATCCTTCCTGACCTCTGGATCTTTGCACATGGTAATGGTCCTGACTAGAAGGCACTCCCTTCACCTACTACTGTGTTTTCTCTGCTGCGTCTTCTTTCCCTACGCTGTTTTGACATGATGTATTCAGTATCAGCTTCTCCACTCGACCCTGAGCTCCTGAGGGGAAAGTCTTCTTCTATTTGATTCCAGTCCTCATGTTCTGGCACAAAACCTGGACATCGTAGGAGCTCCTAAAATAAGATAGTTTTTTAATTTACATGGAAAAATTCCAGCAAATACAAAAGTAGAGAGAATCATATAATAAAGTTGAAAGTACCCATGACCTGGATTCATCAATTGACAAGCACCTTCCTTCACCTACACCATGCAGTGGGTTATGTCGGCCCCCATGGAATGTAGGTCCATGTCCAAACCCCTGGATCCTATAAATGTGATCTTATTTGGATAAAGGCTCTTTGCAGATGAAGTTAAGGAACTTGAGATGACATCATCCTGGTATATCTAATAGGCCCTAAATCCAATGAGAAGTGTCCCCACAACATAGAAGACACAGACGCACAGAGGCTGAGGTGCTGGAAACCCCAGGCAGAAAGTAGAGTGACGTGGCCACCATCCATGAAAGTCCAGAAATGCCAAGAGCCCCCAGAAGCTGTGAGAGGCAGGGAGGGATTGTTCTCTAGAGCTTCTGGGGACCAAGCCAGGCCCCTCCACCAGCACCAGTAACTGATTTCAGACTTCTGACCTTCAGGATTTCTGTTGTTTCAAGTCACCTGGTTTATAGGAATCTGCGACAGATGCCATAGAAGATAATATCAACTTCTACCTTCTCCCCCCACTGCCAGGGGATTCTTTTGAAGCAAATTCCAGACAGCATATCATTCCTCTGTAAACAATAGGATTCATGTCTAGAAAGGAAGAACTACTTGTCTTAAACATAATCATATTATTTTCTTACCATATTAAAATTCTACAATCTCAGTTTCATCAAAGCTTCAGCATTCTAGTTTATGTAAGTGTTCCATACTCGAGCTCATGGGACAGTGGAGCAGACACAGTGGACCTCAGGGGTTATTAGAGGCTCACTGGACTCTGTGGGAAGCACAGAGGACAGCCCAGCACTCCTCAGAAGCAACGGGGCAGACTTAATTGTGGGCACTGGAAGGAGCTTGCCAGGCAGGGCTAGCAAATGCACCCAGGCAGGAAGGCAAGAGGCCCTACCATGCTCATAGGGTTGATTGGGCTGGAGATCAGGGAGTGAGGACAGGTGTGAGGATGCGTTCTGTATGCAGTGAGTACTCACTGAAGAATTCTGTGATATTCAGATCTGCATTGTAGAAAACCTACTCTGGTGGTAAGTGGAGAAGAGACGAGAGCAAAGTGAAGCTGCAGGTAGGAAGCCTGTGTGTCTGCTCCCTCACCCACCTTCACCAACTGTGGGGAAGCCACTCTCAGAGGAGGAGAGCTCACTTTGCAGAAGCCCAGGTATCCTGGGAGGGATTAGCATTGTAGGCACAGTAGAGGCTGAAGCTAGGAAGTGCTCCTAATCCAAGCACTCTGGCACACTGACACACCAGGGAAAAATGATTTTGCATTTAGTTACTTGTATGTGATTCACAGATACCATCTGCATCTTGGCAGCCCAGGCCTGAGTGGCACTGAGGGAACTGAGGGAAGGCTCAGGCCCGGGGCCCCACAGAGCCTTAAGGAGCAGAGTGAGGATGAGCCAGGAGCACACGCACTGTGAGGGACAGCAGGGTGGTCTGAGAGCAGAGGGCGGGTCTGCTTGCTCTTCAGTGTTTCCTCACCTCCCAGAAAACTGAGGAAGCCGCAGCAGACGGAATAGCTGTCTTGAAAATGTGTCAGAAAGAATGCTTTTATCAGAAATAAACTGACTGTCCAGGAAAAGAAGAAAGTGTCTTTAAGCCATTACCCAGAATGGTAACTCTTTCCCTGTGCATACCTGAAAATGTCAGACGTACGTTTCTACACCTGACTTTTTAATAAATTGTATGACAAATGTTACAGGACAATTCTTGGAAAAGTCAAACACACCACATTTTCTATAGTTTCCTTTTTTACTAAATTTTTAATTCCAAGAAAGTGATATGATAGGCTAGGAGGAGATTGGAAATCTGAATTCATATCAGATCCTTATGAAAAGAAATCAATTTTAACTAAGTCGGCAAATAGGAGTTTTCTATTATTTAATTACCATGTAAGTGGAAAGAGTTCATAAGCCTCACAACAGGCACAATCAACAGTTAGGTAAAGCACTTTATTGTTGCAAAGCTTTAGAATATTGGCCTTGCATGTTTTTGGCCTCCATGGCTGCTTTATTAAAACCTGAAAATCTTCCTTGCTTCTTCTAAAGTTTTCGCATCCATGGGAGGCTTCCTCGGGCTGCCAGGCTGCAGAAACTTCTTCACCGTGGGCAGGTTGCTGATTCTGGTTTTCAGGGCCTGTAATTCACAAAGCACAGCCTCAGAGTGAAGCCAAGGGCTAACGCCACTATTAACACAATCTAGGGAATCTGAGCCCTCCTGCCAAAGACCAGGTAAGTCCCCTCCAGCAGCACCAGCATGGAGGCAGAAACAGACACCCAGTGAGAAATGACAATAAGAGGGAGAACATGTAGCTTACTTTGTATCTTCCCCAAAAATGTTTTAATCAGTTCTGTCATCCCTATTTTTCTCCTTACATATTAATCCTATAGATTTGTGGCTGTTGTGTAAGACAAGAAGAAGCAATGTGCCTGTGAGATATCAACACAGGTCAGTCTCTAAGCAGAAGTGAAAATATGGGGAAATTAGTTGGAAAGGAATATATTATAGAAAATATTAAAGACAAACCATGGGACCACTTTTTCTCAGTGAGGGATACAGGGTTGGGGCAGTGTTTTGGGAGAGCTGTGCAGAGAGGAACACAACGTCTGACAGCAGGAGCCGGAGCCCAGGAAGGAACCAGATGGAAAGGGCCCTGCTCAGACAGACTCGGTGCAAGAAGACAAGACACATCTGGAATAAAGGGCATCACAGAGAACTCAGGGACAGAAACCACAGGGAATAGAGGGTTAGGGAGAGATTCTGGGCCCTGGGTCCTTTCCATGATAAAAGGTAAAATACTCTTCATGGGGTAGCATGCACCACAAATTTCCTTTCCATAACAAAAGTGTTTTCATTTCTCAAAACTGAAGCCTGGAAGCTCATTTTGGAGACCTGGGAGCACTCCAGGCCTGGAGAAGGCTGGGGTTAGAACACGGTCAGTCCCAGGGCCCAGATACTAGATCCCAAGATGGGAGATGTGGGGCTGCCTCTCTGGGTGGTGAAATGGGTCACCTTCAGCAGAGGGAAGCCGGAGATAAGGCTGGAGTCAACCTCTTCCACATAGTAGAGAAGTTCCACCAGCTGAATGTCAGCCCGGCTCAGCTTGTTGCCAACAAGGTAGTCTTGCCCGTGGCTCTTTAAGACCTGGAGATTTTGAGGAATCAGATCAGGAACACATGCGCAGTACCCCTGCTTCTTTCTAAGCCTCTTCACCCTGACTTTCCCCACCTCTGTCACCTTACTGCCTGAGTGCAGAGATCCAGAACTTTCTCCACATCTTAATGAGTGACAGAGTAAGAAGTATAGCTCAGCCCACTCCTCAGTTGGAGCTCAGGCTATCATTTTCTCTTCTCATTCCATATCACTGTGGCATCTACATTACCCACCCAGCTTGCCTCTTCCACATGGGCCAAGGGCTTAGCCCCTGCCTCTGCGTGTTCTGTCTGCCCCACGCCCTCCAGCGCGCAGTCCTGACATTCAGGATGCGGCTCTACTCTGCTCTCTCCCTCTCCAATCTCCCCTGGGCAGCAACTCCACCTTCATGACGGCTCTTTTCCCCCAGGAGTAGGCTATTTCAGAGTCTTCATTTCTCCTTGTCTGCTCTCCTCATTCCCTGTTCTATCTCCCTGGGATCTGAAGTAAACCTGGGTGAACTTGAATTCATCGTCTTTCTTACAACATCGATTCTGACTCCTAACCCGCACTACGTTATAACCTGCAAGCTGAAGCATTCAGGGGTGAACTGCACTGATGTCTGCAACTTACTATCAAATTCATTTTACAAAATCTTCCTCTGCATCCCACAGTCACTCTCCTTTTGAAAAGTACCCATCCCTGAAACACTACAATATTCTCTGGTTGGCAGTTGGTCTCGTGTCTTCCTACACATGGTGCCAGAATATTTTCTGATAGATCGCTTTCATCATGTTCGTCTTCAATCAAAGTCTGTGGTGTTCCACGGACTCAAAAGCAACCCCTAGTGTGGTTCAGAGCCTTCCACAGCCCACATTCTACTTATGAACATGAAATTTTGGTTGAACAGAAAATTTCATGTTGGGGTCTAGTAAATTAAAATTTTATTGGAAAATTACAGCTTGGGTATAACTGGTATAATTGTTCCCCCAAGTCTATTTTCATAAAATCTCTTGAGAGTCAGAGTGCTGCATTGGTGTTCAGGAAGTCTCACTGAAAGTGAAGGTCAGTGTCGCCCAGGAGTGCCCAGCCACTATTTTTCTACTGTCCTCTAAACTCAGTGCCCCAAACACTGAACACCTTCACTTACTTTTTCAAAGGCAGGCAAATAGCGATTTTTTGTTTTCTCTTTGGCCATGGCAACCTTGGCATCTTTTTCCTCAGGTTTACATAAGGGCAGAAGAAGGATCATTTCATACAAATCTGCCATACCTTCTGTATACATATCAATCCTGAAAGACAAAAACAACCAAACGGTCAAATGCCTTTTGCCTTTGATTTTATAGGTTTATAGAAACCTAAGAGAATAGAGTATCAGGTGTTGATAAAGTAATTCACTTCCAGTGGGTGCCGTTTATATTCTAGAGATTATGCTCTGATTTGTACAGGTATATTAATATTTATTTTTTAAAACAACCTATCGAGGTAGATATATCTCTAAATTTTGCTACACATGTGATTTAATACAGGTAAAAAGAGTATCGGTGGTCACAGTCATGAGAGAAGTTGGTGGAATCACTGCCAGTAATCACGGATGCTGTGCTGGGATTTACCATGTCTATTGTGGTTTGTTCTGTGCATAAACTTAGTGTGAGTCAAATGGCCAAAGACCTGCCTCCTGAGTAATCCTAAGAGAGTCCCTGGCACAGCCATCTCAGCCATGTTCCTCACCCTCTC